AGAGTATTCTTCTACAATGTTAGAATATCGAATCAGGTAGAAGTGTGTTCTTCTTGATCAATGAAATGAGTGATGGCAAGAATACAATAAATGATTAATAATGGGTATCGACCATAATTTGGATGTTCCAGCTGCGTCGGATATATCGGTTGATATCCAGGCCGGCAAATAAATTCTATTTACCCGATCAATTATCGGAATGCCCGGGACTCCATGGACACTGTCGCAAAGTTGTTCATATTTGATGATGGAAATTGGAATCTTCGATGCAACGAGACCATGAACTGGTCTAGTCCTGGCAGTATTCGTGCTCTCAAAAGGATCATTATAGGCCATTCGTTGAGGCTACAACTATAGCACAACTATATGCGAGTGCAGCAGAACTCAAAGCGAACGGGGAGCTTCTGAGGTCCAAAGTAGATGTAAACGCATCAAGATTCAAATAGAACAGTGTCACCAAGGAAGTAGACTATGCACCTTGGCACCGGTTTTGAACATATCCGGCCATGAGAACAAATCCATGGATCCAGAAAGCTTTGAGGGAAGATTAAAGTTTTTTATGGTCTTCATATGAGTTCCGGGGAAGTTAGCAGATTAGCAGAGAAGTGATCTCGAACGGAACTCAACCGAGAATGGACTCAACCATCGGATGATGATAACGGAGACAGCACATGCCAAGAATATTGTCATATGACTTTTGTCCGAAGAAACACTGACGAACACATGACATGACACGAGAACCTTCACGTTACATACCTACGTCGGTAGACCTCCCCCGTACAACATCTCAATCTTTGAACGGTCTGGATGCCAAGCGGTAGAATACCCCGCTGTGTCCAGCATTTCCATGCGTATAGGAGCGCATATGAGACACATAGGTATCCGATATCACTGGCTACTTGCTAACCTTTTCACGGGCGTCGACCAACAATCCCGACCGGTGCAGGTGAGAATGGACCAGGCATGACCTTGTACCCCCTCATCTCTCAAAGGATTCACTTCCATGTCATTAGCTAAATAGTGTTATTGTGGGGTAGAGACTAGCGAGGGACCAAGACGACCCGTCATCTTTCATGCAGAATTCGCGGGGATGAATACAAAATGAGGGGTAAAGTGTGTAAATCGGCCCGTTCAATTTTGCGAATTACTTCTTCCAATAGTAGATGTAAACCAAGACTTACTTTGACGACCAGCGGCCGAGGAAAATTGTACTAGAGTATTTTTATCTCTAGCGATCTTCGTCGTCTTCGCCTATCAAAAAACTATCGAGATGCGATTCACTCCAAGACCTGCAACACAATGGCGTTCTAGGAATTATCACTTGCATGTCAAAATTTGTTGTCAACCTGTCTCATGCACGGTTACATCCGTATACATGCAAGCTTCCATGTCGATCACAAGTGAACTTCCTACTTTGAATTTGCCCCTTAATCCCCCGTCCAGGTCTACGGAGTATAAGAAGTGACCGACGTTCAGAAAAATCAATCAATATCGTCAAGTCAATCAACATGGTCAAGACCACACTTTTTTGGCTATTGTTTACAGCAAGAGCTGTTTCAGCAGCAAATATTGACTTCTTACGACGTGATACAAGCCACCATCTTAATGCCACCCTTCCTCTCTCGAAATGTCCAGGCTACAAAGCTTCCAATGTCAAGACAACAGGATCAACACTTTTCGCGGATCTAACTTTGGCTGGTCCTGCTTGCAACACTTACGGCACTGACTTGAAAGGTCTATCCTTAAAAGTGGTATATGAAACAGGTTGGCAAGCTACATATCAAGACTACTATTCTTGCTAACTACTGCTAGATGATCGCATACATGTGCTGATTCAAGATCCTGCCAATGTTGTGTACCAACTTCCCGAATCAGTCTTCCCTCGCCCTACTGGATCGTCGACCAATTCCAAGGGCGCCAATATCAAATTCCATTATGTTAGCTCTCCATTCTCATTCTCAATTACACGAGCAAAGACAGGCGAAGTCTTGTTCGACACTTCCGCTGCAAGTCTTGTATTCGAATCGCAATACTTAAGATTGAGAACGAAATTGCCATCCAATCCAAATCTGTATGGTCTTGGTGAACACTCCGATGCATTTCGTTTAAATACCACCGATTATACTCGGACGCTGTGGTCTCGTGACGCCTATGGAACTCCTGCAGGCAGCAATTTATACGGAAACCACCCGGTATATTTTGAACATAGAACTGGTGGAACTCATGGAGTATTTTTCATGAACTCTAATGGTATGGATATAATGATCAACAATACAAATGGGAGAAATCAGTATCTTGAGTATAATACTCTTGGGGGTGTTTTAGACTTTTACTTTCTAGCCGGACCCGATCCAATTGTTTTGTCTCAGCAGTATTCAGAGCTTGTTGGCTTACCCGCAATGATGCCATATTGGGGGTTTGGGTTCCATAATTGTCGTTATGGTTATCAGGATGCTTTTGCAGTCGCAGAAGTCATCTATAATTATTCGAAGGCAGAAATTCCTCTAGAGGTTATGTGGACAGATATTGATTATATGGATGCAAGAAAGGTAAGAAGTATGCCATGCCTGAAACGTACATAACTGACTTCTGAAAGACTTTCACTCTCGATCCTGAGCGCTTTCCAATAGATATGATGCAAGATATCAATCACTATCTTCACAATCATGACCAAAAACAAATTCTCATGGTCGATCCCGCAGTTGCATATAAAAACAACCCTGCTTACGATCGTGGGGTTGTCGATGATATTTTTCTCAAGCGAGGTAATGGATCTCTCTGGCTCGGCGTCGTATGGCCTGGAGTTACTGTATTCCCAGATTGGTTTTCCAAAAATATCGTAAGCTGGTGGAACAATGAGTTTTCTACATTCTTCGATCCAGCGACTGGCGTTGACGTTGATGGACTTTGGATCGATATGAATGAACCATCGAATTTTCCATGTTACTTCCCATGCGATAATCCATACACATCAGCAGTAGGATTTCCTCCTGATCCACCTGCAGTCAGAACACCACCTCGTTCATTACCCGGATTTCCCTGCGCATTCCAACCTTCTGGAACAACCAATTGTACGGATGCAAGCAGTAGACGATCAATTACTAGCAGCGGTCCCAAGATTGCTTTACCAAATCAAATAAATCCTTCAAGACGAGCATCAGGAACACAGCAAGGTTTGCCCGGACGCGATTTACTTTACCCAGGATACGCAATTCATAATGCTGCAGCGTACCTCCCTTCCTGGAATGCCGCCGAAGGAGGAATTTCCAACCAAACAATCAATACAGATGTAATTCACCAAAACGGTCTCGCCATGTACGACACCCATAATCTCTACGGAACCATGATGTCGACCGCTTCTTATGACGCAATGGCAAACCGCCGGCCGGAAGATCGTCCCTTGATCATTACACGCAGCACATTTGCCGGCGCGGGCACTAAAGTAGGCCATTGGCTTGGAGACAATTTCAGTGACTGGCTCCACTACCGTATGTCTATCCGTGGCATGTTAGCTTTTGCATCTATATATCAAATTCCCATGGTTGGTGCCGATGTATGCGGATTCGCGGAAGATACTAACGAGGAACTATGTGCTCGCTGGGCCATGCTCGGTGCTTTCGCCCCATTCTATCGCGATCACAACAGCTATCCTCCAGTTATCAGCCAGGAATTCTATCTCTGGCCTGCCGTCACCGAAGCAGCTAAGAAGGCGATCGATATACGGTATCGATTGTTAGATTACATATACACAGCTTTGTATCGACAATCCGTTGATGGAACGCCACTCATCAATCCTATGTTTTACATTTACCCATCTGATACCGCTACCTTTGGACTGGAGACACAATATTTCTACGGGCCGGGAATTCTTGTTAGTCCAGTCATGGAAGGTAATTCTACGACCGTGGACTTGTATCTTCCGAAGGACATATACTATGATTTCTACACGCATGCTCCTGTGACTGGCCATGCAAACATAATTCAAATTACCGATCAAAATATCACAGATATACCCCTCCATTATCGTGGTGGAGTCATCGTTCCTCAACGTATCGAAAGCGGAATGACGACCACAGAAGTCAGGAAACAAAACTTTGAAATCATTGTCCCAGTTGGTGCCGATGGAACAGCTAAAGGAGAATTGTATCTAGATGATGGAGTAAGCACTGTGCAAGAAGGATATTCATTAATTGAATTCTACTGGGATGGAAAGACTTTCGATGTGTCTGGACATTTTGGATATGATGCTGGGGTAAGCATTGAAAGAGTTGTCTTTTTGGGATTGGCCAGTAGCGCTAGTGGCATTGGAAAGCAATATAGCGCAAATGCGAATACGCATGTGAGCGCCCAAGGCGACGTAACCGTGAAAGTTAGCAGGGAGTTGAGTGGGGGATTTTCGATCGCAGTTTGAGGTGAAAGATGGGAATACGAGGGTCTGGGTGATGTTGAGTGAAGATATGGCAAACGGCGGTACATAACGTTAGTACATAATAATACATAACAGCTTGTTATTGCAACTAATCTCAATGAAAATGACTTTTGGATATTCTGATGGCGAAGTATCATTTATTGCACTTTACAACAGGAGAAATGATTCTTTGCGTACGGCGTACGTGTCTCGTCAGATGATAAAGATTTCATCTCAGGAATCTACCACCAGAGTCTACCAAGATCCCTGTCATCATCAAGAAATCTGTTCCATAAATCATATTGTTTAAAGCCACTAAACACTCCGAGGACAGATTTGGGTTGCACCTTGAGTTCCAAAGTTTCCGCGACATACTCAGGGTTGCTAGTGACGTGGCTCATTGTCAAATACAACAGCCTAAACAGAGAATGACCTAAACGGCTGTCATTACTAATTCGAGTGATTACTTGGTAACCAATTATATGGCGGCTGTGTTCCTTGTTTTCTTCTATTTAAGGCTGTAGATAAGATCAAGATAAACCTCACACATCAATCAGATAAGCATTGCCATACACCATATATCCCATTAATCATGTCTGAACGCTTGGGGTATAAAGTGAATACCCTTTCGACCCCGCATAGCTCAAACTAACTCAACTCGCAGTTCGTCCTCACGAATCCAGACGAACTAGAACATTGCTTGCTCTGCAATCGAATCTTCTGTGCAAGACACAAAGCGGTTGAAAACAACACTGTTTGCCAAATCGACCATCGGAGTTATTATCGCACCCACCAAGAATTTCATGATACGGGGACAATTTTTCGAAACATGGAACATCGAAACATAGAGATGGATCCGTCCAAAGCTGGGTTGAATCGGGAAGCGAAATCGATAATGGAGGTGGAAGCAATGAGACAAAGACGAGAGGGGGAGGAAGGGAGAATTTAAGAGGCGGCTAAGAGAGGAGGGACAAGCGAGGAAATTGCAAAACAACGAGGCAAATTGGAAGCAGGGGAAGGCTCTCAGGGCACTACTATCCCAGACGCGGATTGCAATTAGGCGGGTCGTGATTTTTAGGAGTAGATGCTTAGTACTTAGCTGAGGGCAACTTCAGCTTATCGATCCGGGGAAATTTGGAAACTTGACAGAAATTGTTCAAAGGTCTTTGCTCAACATGCGAATATACTTCCATGTATCATCACCATCTGGATACACGACATAAAAATGAAAATGAGGAATCTGATAATGTGAAAGATAACCAGGAAAAGAAGCACAAGAAGCTGAACTTCGTCGTCGGGACAAGAAAGAGAAAGAAGCCCGCCAGAAACAGCAAGGGGCTAATAAGTCTCCTGTTGCCCAATAAGACGACAATTAGAATGGATTGATCCGAGAAACTGAGTCGCAGTAGATCCTCGTTGCCATGACCTATCTCCCTGCTCTAGAGCTGACAGCTTGTCCGTAGATCGGCGAAAGAAGGTGTTCCGCGTCTCTCCATTCGCCTGACAACGAGGGTGTAGTATCACCACCGGATTCTTGGGTGTCCATTCTATGCATCTACATCCTTCATGTTTTTGTTTTGCTTTTGAATAATCTTGTTGACGGGGTGGGGAATGGGGGGGGGAACTTGCAAGGTATTCATAGACGACGCATATAGACTGCTATTATTCATACCACTTGACGAATATATATCTGTTAGGTGACTTTCTGACATACACTTGTAAAATTTCGGTCAAAATCTGTAAATTCTGTAATCAATGGTGCATACGAAAATACTCACAATGTATTAAAATCGTCATATTTCGTTTCTTTGTGCAATCCAAAGTGCGAATTGTGTGTCACATGACCTTAAAATAAAGACGCGACATGCACGTTCAAATGACGCGTCTCACCAGCTTCTCCTTGAGTAATTCACAACAACAAATTCAAATATGGAGTCCAGCGACCCAACAATAATTGATCTTAAATCTTCATTCCTGCGCGCACAAATCTTCGCACTCTCTCAACCTCTTCAGCCGTCTCAAGAATGGCAAGATTCGATATCGGAGGAAGAGAATACCCTACGACAACGCGCAATTGATGAAGCATTATTCAAGCTCAATACTATCCTGAAACAACATAATAAGATCAGCTACCCTCCGCAGGCACAGCGACATGTTGCTGAACAGATCGATGAATTATACTGGGCTGCAGGGGAGAGAGATGTTAATGTGAATGGAGAGGAGTGGAGTGAAAAGGGCGCCGACTATCGTGAGTCCCATGAATTATATCAATCAAGGCGTAGTGGACTTATGCTAATCAATATCTAAATCGACAGGCTTTTCATCTAACATTGAGAAATTACCAGAGGAGTGGAGCGAAGAAGCAGAAACGAAGGCACCTAAGCAAGCTGCGAAATACAAAGAGCTTCAGACTAAACTGTTAGGACTAAATGAGAAGCGAAAGGCCGCAAAGGAGAAACTTGAACAATGTAAAGCTGCCAAGAAATTACTCGAACCCTTTGATCAAGCGGATAAGAATGTTCAAGAAAATATTGTTACCAAAAACGGGGAAATCGAGAAAGAATTAGAGAGGATGAGGATGTTGATGTTGAGAGTTGAGAGGGGCATTGTAGGGCTAGAGGGGAAAGATAGGGAGGATCATATGGATGTTGACTTGGAAGAGGATGATAGGGAGAAGCTTAGGTTCTTGGGAATTACATAACATGATTAGCTTTGTTCGATAGAGGACGAGAAATAGACGGTCTTTGTTGGGTGAGTTTCTTGTAAAGAATTCTTTTTCTTCCTGTCACTTATTAGCAATTCAGACAACAAAGCCGTCAAGCATGATCGATCCGGCACTTCGCTTTAATAAGCTTCGAGTATACGTTGAACACACTTCAGCTTCGCCCAGTATACTCAATCTTGTTTCATCGTCCCGAAATTTACACAAAATGAGTCTGTATCATATCAGTCTTCCATGTACCAACTTGAAAGCATCAGAAGAGTTCTACGCAACCGTATTAGAGCCTTTAGGCTATAGAACGTACCTTCAAACTCGTAACAAGACTTTCTTTAGACCAAGCTGGTCGTTTCGCCCTGAACTTTCCTTAAGACGTGATAGATCTTGTGGGCCAATTGGAGGTACTCGTATCACCAGTCATGCAACATCCAGATCACAAGTCGACAGATTTTATGTTCTCGGACTGTACGTGTTTCCGTCATTTTTAAATAATCACTAACAAGACACTAACTCCATCGGCAGAGCCAAATCTAACAACATCCAAAGCGGAGAGATAAACGATTATCCACATGCCTGTACAGCTTCTATCGTCGACTTTGACGGCAATGTCATTGAAGCGATTTATTTGAAATCATGGGGGCCCAAGGTCATCACCCCGTTTCCAATGACTCCCGCAGCGATCTTTGGCGCGCTTTACCTGACAGTTGCTTCTTCTATCTTCAAAATACTTGGAGGGTGGTACTATTTTATCTTCAACACAATAGGGATATTGATGATTGCAGATCTTGTTTATGTGCAGCTTGATTCGGAGAGTTCAACACAGAGATTAGAAGATTCTGGACTGCTGAGCCTTGAAAAACGAGACAAAGCGTCGAGGGCTAGGCTAGCATCTAGAGATGTGGATTGAACTTTGGGAAATTTGTACAGAGATCTGAAGATTTTGGTCGGTTAACGGCGACTTATATCAAGCGATTCAATGCACTTCCATGTCTATTTGTGCGTAACTGACAGAGTGCATGATTTTCTTACAGTCACAATATTCTTCAATGATCTAGCAAAGCCTCAATTCAAGTACCAAATCTACGATACCCTCTATATTCATATTTGAAGTCTGAATATAGAAATGTTATTTGAGCTAATCTTGGCACTCGCATATCATGACATCCAAGATTTGAGTTGCGCGCGCTAGAGACGCCATTGACGGGAAATACCCATCTAGTATCACACTACTACTAGCTTCCACAGTGGATCCATGATATGTGTTATTGACATAAGCAATCCATGATATCATGCATTTGTGCTAAACCAGTTTGTCAACTACATAGCTCATTCATTGAAGCTTTTTTTTTGGAAGTTGACTCTAATAAATCTCCATCGGAATATATTCACCATACTCAATTGCAAAAATTAAAATGCCATTTCCCTACAAAACTGTAAGCCTCCTCAACCATCCATCGTTAATTTCGTCTTTGCTGAGATAAGATATCAGGTACTGGTAGTTGGCGCCACCTCAGGCATTGGGCTTGCCCTCGCTGAGAAAATGCTTTCCGAAGGCGTTACCAAAATCATAGCTTTGGGCCGTCGTCAAGATAAACTGGATGAGTTACAGGAAAAACATGGAGATTCGAAAGTTTCAACAGTGGCCTTTGATATTACGAATCTTGAGGGCATTCCCAATATGGTTGAGGGGTACGTTATCCATACATTTCGATCAACTGCTAGGGTAAACCAATATTGATCGATCAAACTTCACAGAGTCCTCAAATCACATCCCTCCCTCGACTGTGCATTCCTCAATAGTGGAATACAACGATCTCTCGATTTTACCCAACCCTCATCCATAGATCTCGATGTCATTTCTACAGAATTCACGACTAATTATCTCTCTTACGTTCATCTTGTTAAAGCACTTCTTCCACATCTACAGAATAGAGTCAAGGGTGGCGAGAATTCCGGATTGATATTCACGACCAGTGGATTGGCTTTAGTACCCATAGTGCGATGTGGAAATTATTGTGCAAGTAAAGCTGCTATGCATCAATTAATTCTCGTTATGCGGGAACAGTTGAGAGGTGTGGGTCAGAGCGAAAGTGGGAATACTGCGGAGGAAAAGATTCCGGGGGAGAACAAAAAGAGTAAGGGTGTGCAGGTTATTGAAATCTATCCGCCGGCTGTTCAGACGGAGCTACATGATGAGAAACATCAACCGGATATAAAAGATGGCAGGAATATGGGAATGCCGTTGGATGAGTTTACGGAAGAAGCGTGGAGAGGATTAGAGAGGGGTGATGAAGATATTCCTGTGGGGACGACGTGGAAAGGATTTGGGTATGAGGAGGTGGAGATGCGAAGGAAGAAATTGTTTGGCGAAATGATGGAGAAGATGAAAGGGAATTAAGGTTGTGTCAAAGATTCGAGGGAAGCTGAGGATGCGTTTTCGGGACAGACATGGAAGAACTGTATATTGAATATTGTGAATGGTTCAAGTAGGAAAGCCACGTGCTTGGACTACTAGATATATAAAGCTGCAAGCGCGTTTGGAGTGTAGCGTTATTTCTGGTCTCTTGATGCTCAAAATAATTTTAAGTGTCCGTCATCTCTTACAAGTGAGATGTCCCCTTACACGTATAATTTAACCGCATGAAATCAATATTCACTTGCACAACTAACTGCTAGAAAGCTTTTCCTGTCTGACTACCTAGGTATATAAACCCCGTAATTTCCTCCAACCATCACCTCTTCATTACAAAAAACCCCGCAAGTAATTACGAATTTGAAGGCTGGGAATTCTATAGTCCTATCATCCAAAATTTAGCGTTAACTCCTGACACCACAGTCCCAGCCCATCATTCTGTGAATTTGTTGTGGGCCAAATATCCTATTCTTGCAAACGATAATTGAAGTTTTCGACAGTGATGAAAATGTTCAACGACAGCGTCTAGATTAATACAATGCAGAGAAACAAGATATATATGCCATTACCATTCTTCGTATTATACTGAGCGAATCCTGTGTTATTGGCCTTGCTCTTCTGAATTTTATCAAGGCTTTGCACTCCTTTAACGTCTTCCCAAATGTTAAACCGGGTCAGTATGGATAAAACTCACAGCAAAACGGCACCTTTTTATTTATCCACGCAAAGCACAAATAGATTGCAACCATAATTCACCCTACTAGTATCAAACTCATACTGTAGGCCTATTTCTAAGCCTGAGCGGTGAATTCTAATCTAGCCCCCTCAGAATATTCAGTCGTTCTGTATTTAAACACGTCCTATGGGTTCCTACATATCAAACTTTCTTTGATACGAAAAATATACCGTCTTAGGGAATAGTGCTTGGAGCTGATTTCAAGTGAGGATTTTGATCCAATTTCCCACCATAGAGTTGCAACTGCATAACGAAGATATGGGTCATCTGCAGACACACGCATGTTTAGAACTACATGCTGTTATTATCGTTCAGATCTACCCAATGCTTTTCTGACAGCAGGGAAGTGTAAGAGTGGAAGTGACAGTGAACTATTTTCATATATTGATCATTCCACTATATATTCGCAGAGTTGAATACGACTCACCTTGGGTTGGAACCATACACGACTCCCGAAGCTCCAGCTTGAGGGTTCTCTAGGAGTGAGTTGTCTTTCTGATAAATCCGGATATCGGCCTCCGCAGCTTGTTTGGTTCCTGGAATTTAGCTTTGTCACCACCTACATATATATAGATACCTCTGAAATGGGCACACAAATCAAAAATTCCCAGATGCGCTTACCGCCTTTACTTTTGAGAGATGTAGGTATTTTCGATACAGACGATTAATTGCTGCATACAAAAGTGCGCCCCAAGCAAAATTCACTCACCATCGCCCACTCCTCACTTCCCAACCTCATCGTCGCCTAACAGCCGCCCCACAAAAACTCAATCCAAACCTCTCACAACCAGCCATTTCAAAAATTATATCTTCAGAATAGGAAGTAAGCACCAAAGATCAAAAAAGCAAAATTTCAACACGTCTTGCGACGCTGTAAATCCCAATCAACTTCGTACTATAGAATGACTGTACCAAGCTGTCCCCTATTTGGCCCGATTACTATGGCATGGGTGGAGGCGTTACGTAGACCACTGTACCACGGGGATATGTTTGGTGAGGTATGTGGATACTTTGGGGGATATGTGGGAGAGGCTGTCTGATGAGTTAGGGAATGGGAAACAGGTAATGAGAGTTGGGATAAAGGACATGTGATGCAACTTGGGAACTCCAAAATAGAATAAGAGATCTCATGTCTTTATTTCTGTTTACTGATAGTGACTTCAGAACGCACGATTGAAGTTCTTAATGAATTCTTCTTGGTTGGTGGTGTACCGTGTATGTCGCGAAATATCTGGCGGTCATGAGCAGCAGAATTTCCCCGACAGTATTCACAAGATGCGACCACCATTCAATGCTTGTGAAGTTTTGATGCGATCACTTATGATAACATTGTCATACATACCTCAACTGCATTGAAGTGGGTAGAAAGCAAACACACTGGGACAAGCTTTCCGGCCACGCCGAAAACAAAACTGCTTCCCGGAAGATTTTTTCCGACAAGCTAGCCTGGGTGTTCATTGAATCATCAACCCAACATATGTGCGATTGGACGAATGAATCAATTTGCGCTTTGAATGCACATGTGTATGGCTTGTAAAATAGTTGAATTTTACTTTGGATCTAGGCCAGACTTAAATATAAAGTCCCTTGCTGTCTTTGTAAGGTAGACTAAAATACATGTTCAACTAATTCGTATGAGATACCAAAGAAAACACTTCAGAGGATCGGGACCTTACTAACTTGCTTCTACAAAGCCATTCAATGTGCCAGAAATTAATTCCGTAATCGTGCCGATTAAGCACATGTGGTTGAATGGTTTCGATATGGGATACGTCTCTAGAGTTACCTTCTCTCGAGATATGGGATCGCTGCCGAAGAATATCGAGCCCTACTTGAGGAGTGAACACAAACACTCATACGCCCTTGATTAACGGGTTGTGAAGAAGTTGATATTAATTTGAGAATTATTGCTAAAACATAGGGCCACCCTTAGAATCACTTGACTAAACTCTGTTGGCAAATGGATTTTTGGAACTTGAATAGACTTTACGTTAGCTCCACGCAAAATACAAAGAGCTTTATTATAAGTCACACTTTTAGTATTATTTCGTCGAGTTGGATACAAAAGTACTCATACTATGGGTCCACTAGATCCAGAACGTGGAAGTGGTCACTTACTATCATTCCACGCTGCTGTAGCATAAGACGATGAAGCGACATGTAGAAAGAGGTAATTTTATGATAGTAAAGCCATTGTGAATCTGGAAAGAAATGTTTAGTCAATCACATAGTTGGTATAGACTGTGCTTTGGTAGCATGGAATTGACTTTATTGAATCACAAATTACTCAATTACATCGGGTAGATTCACCCTTACACATTGGGAAACTTGGTCTTGAGACTTGGGTGTCGGGTTGAGTTGCTGTAATCTAGAAAGCCACTTTTTATATTCCATCATTTTGAATGGCAACATACCACTATCGTTCGATCGCTGGAGCATAGAGCAAGAAATTTGAGAAGAAGTTACAGTTGATAGCAAGAGATATCTTCTTGAGATTTCGAATATTAGCGCCCACAGAAAATAATGTGCACAGCTAGGATAAGAAATAGACCACTGAGATAGCCCTGCATCATTGAACTTCATATGGATGTTGATCCTTGCGCCGTATCATTTGGACTTAATGGCGATGAAATCTATTATATGAAAGACGAGGGGGTTGCAGGGGAGACGAAAGCGTTAGGAAGAGGCTGTTTTCGAAGACAGGGGGTTCATATGACATCATTGTCGTCTAGTCTAGGGGTTGGTAGCTGAAAACGAGGAGAATTGATTGGAGGTTTAAAGAAAAAGCATTGTAATCTGAAGCTCTGAGTCAAAGACCAAACTTTTGATATATAATATGAATATGTTGATACTTCATCTGAGAACCCCTTATTTCACCTGTCTAACTTTAGACAGAAGTTTATTTTGTGTTAGACACTTGAGAATAACAGATGAAGCCTTTCAATAGACTCATGTTAGAACCTTTATTTATGTATAAGATACATTTGATATAGAAATCATGTTATTCAATCGTCTTTGACAGAAACTACTCATTGTTCATTGATGTCTCGAGCTTTCTGGCTCACTGAGCTCATATTTGGTAAGACTATTCTCACTTTGACATTCTTCCCCCCGGTAAATTGGAAGTATATATTGAACATCAGATGAGAACACATCCAGTGAATAACAATCGAAATTGAGCTTTGTCATGCCTCCATCATGTCTTCATTTACCCCTCACCCCTCACCCCTCCTTCTGACAAAGTTCTTCCATCTTACCTCCCCCATCAACTCGTGATCTGGAACAACATTTCCCCGACGCTCGGATCACCTAAATCAATAAACCATGTCTCCAACTCCATCAATCAAGAGCTTACAGCTTGCTCCCCAGCCCACCAAATACGATCCCATTGTATTACCCAATTCCGAGTTACTTACCGGCGCCGTCGAATATCCCACTCGAAAATCAAGCCTTGCCAATCTACCTCCCAATAAGAAACCTACCACCATGACTTCCAGACTCGTTCTCGTAATTGGCGATTTGCATATCCCAGATCGAGCTATTGATGTTCCTCAGAAGGTATGATTTCTTTTGCGCCTCCTGCGCCTTTTATTATAATTCTCTTTATTGCTGATCTATTGAATTACAGTTCAAGAAGCTTCTCACCCCGGGAAAAATTGGCCAAACTCTCTGTCTTGGAAACCTCACCGATCGTCAGACCTACGACTATCTCCGCTCAATCACCCCCGATCTGAAGATCGTTCGTGGCCGCTACGATACCGATGCTACCTCTCTTCCACTCTCCCAAGTCGTTACACATGGCTCTCTTCGCATTGGCTTCGTTGAAGGCTTTACCATTGTTGCGCCCAACGAGGTTGATTTATTGACTGCCGAAGCCAATAAGTTGGACGTTGATGTATTGTGCTGGGGAGGAACTCATAAGTTTGATGCCTTCGAACTTGACAATAAGTTTTTCATCAATCCCGGAAGTGCGACTGGTGCGATGACTACGGGCTGGATGGAGCCGGGTGAGGAGATTGTCCCTAGTTTCTGTTTGATGGATGTAAGTTCTTCTCTGTTCTTGCGCACTTTGCTTGAGCTACAATTCACTCGCCCATTCCTCCTCCTCCCTCAAATACCCCAGCTAACTTTCCTCCCTCCTCTAGGTCCAAGGTCTCGGTCTCACCCTTTACGTCTACCAACTTCGCACTAGCGAAAAAGGCGAAGAATCCGTCTCCGTCGAGAAGATCTCTTACACCAAGGTTCTTCCTCCCACCACCGCCGCCTCCAGTTCCACATAATGATACCCTAATTCTCCACCACATTTCCATTTAAAGAAGTGCTTTTCCTTCTGCTTTCCCCCGCGGTCGCCAGCTACAAAAAAAGTCCTTTGGCATTTACGGTGTTTGGGGATCTTGATCTTTTGCGGGATGGGGGCACAATTGATATGATATGACATGATATGATGGCATAACGATAGACTATGACTGCTGGAGAGAGAAATACATGCACATAATACCAGAGAGCTAGACTTTTTTCTCTTGTTTCAAGAAAAGTCTTGCCGTACTCATCTACAGAGGTGAACGAATGGACGCCTACTGGATACCAGATTAATAGGATTGCGTACGATACCAGCTGATGATACGTAACATACAATAAAAATCATATCTGTAGCGCAAGCTACTCATTTGCGATTCATTGCAATGCAGAAATTGAAAATGCAAGAACAATATTCGTGATTCGACGATAAAAGAGAGATTTCATTGATATCATATTCCGCTTCATAAAAGTGAAAGAGTCGAGAAACCAGAAACTAAAACTACTTTTGCGCCACTCATTAGGACCAAAGAAGATATGCGCATGGCATATTAAAACCGCTGTAAGCTCATTAATCATCCAATCCGATCCCATTACTCCCGATTTTAATCCAATCTATCATAATCGATTTGATCCAATTCAATCGAATTCAACGCAGAAGAAATTAAGAATATTTTATAGCCCAAACTTGACTCATAAGACGCCACTCATCATAACATCATACTTCTCCTCCTCGAACTTATCCTATCGCTCCTATTCGCATTTGAGGCTGCAGTCCCCGCCATATTCGTACTACTGACACTTTTCCTCAAGGATTTATCCGAGGAATCCGTGGTATCTCTCTCCGATTCGTGACCTTGAGCCGACGCGCTTCTAGCTATGGTTGAAGAGGGTAATGCTGATTGTCGTCTTCTTGAACCTGATTGTGATAGTCCTGTTGATGCAGAAAACTTTCTCGCTGGTTCGAAGTCCTGATCTCCTACCGGAATAGCGGAAGCTCTTCTAGCAAAACGTGATGACGCTCTATCACTTTTCTCTTCTTTTATGATTTTCGGTTCTTCTGAATCGCGTTTGGGCGAACCTTGAAATTCATATATATCCATGTCTTCGAGGGCTGCTTTTATATCGTCGCCTTTAGTCGATTGTTCCTTGGATTTCGCTTTTATTTTCCTCGACTCTGCTAGCAGCTCCGCGACTGATTTTGATCCCGATGCTGAAGATCCCGACTCTGTGAGATATAAAATTGACTCGCGACGTCTTCTATGATCTGTGATGCTGCTTGGTAACATATCAGGAAGGGGTGCAGAAGCTTTGCTAGTTAGCGGACTATGGTCGGCGTTTGACGCGGTTGATAGTTGTTTCCAAGCATCTTCCGATTCGGGTTCTGCTTTGATTTTGCTTATTGTCGTCGGACCAGCTTCCTCGTCTACCCTAATGGCACGAACTTTTCCATCGGCTGTGACGGCGTTCACAAATTCCTTTCCGGGTCGGCGCATTTTGTCTCGAAGATTGGGTTCCGCATAACTTATCGAGTTCCGAGCTCGTCGACTTGGTCGTTGGCCTTCAGCAGACTCCCTGATCTCTGAAGGCGGTGGAGTATCCCGATATTCCACTCGAACGTTGGTTGACGGATGCGATGAAAGAGGCAAAAAGATATCGACAGGTGCAGGCGTCTCTGGTTCCGCCTGCATATTGAAGACCTGAAGTGGAGGTTGCATAGTTTGTTGAATAGGCTCGATATTTTCAATCTTCTTCTCCTCGCTTGGCATCTCCTTCGACAGGCTTTCCTTGAACAAATTCAATTTGCCTGGCTTGATCCCATCGTGATTGGAATTCCTGCTGCTGGCTCCTTTCTTAGGGGAATTGTTCACACTTTTGGCTGCCAGAACCTTTCTGGTGCTGGGAGCTAAAGCTGGCTTGTCTTTCGACAATCCTTTAGAGCTCATAATATCCTTCGATGGCTTCGTATTCTCTTTGGCTGATGAGACCGCCGATTTTGTCTTCGCTCGTTCCTCGGTAGATACACGTGTGAATTGGAAATCGTCAATATCATTGGCGTTTGTCGACTCCAGTTCCTCGTCTTCTCTTGCACTGAGCTTCCTCTTTGCGCCTGATTTGAGTGTTCCCGTATTCTCTCGTTTTGCCGGAAGATCCAGTCGGCTGTTCCTTCTAATATCAGAGGCCACCATACTATCCTTGCGCTTTTTCCTCTGCTCGAGATTCGTTGATATTATCGGATCCAGACAAGGCTCATCTTCCCTCTCATAAGCTAATTTTCCTGCCAAATCTATCTTTACAGGATCTTCGTCGACGAATTGTGATACTGGTGGCGGCCCGATGTCAGGTGAATCTTCGTTGTCTGCCACCACTTCAGCTAGCATATTTTCGATTTCCTGATGTCTATGAATTGTTAGCGTGCAAACTTCAACATATCAAATATTGCGCAACATACTCCAGAGTTTTCCTAGGATAATATTTGTTTTCCAAAATGGGGGGTAATTTGCCATCTGGGCTACCGATGTCTTCACTCGATGAAGCCACCTTTTTCCTTGGCGCCATCTTGCGCTCCGGGCTTGTACCATCCTCATTCAATGGGTCCAGATTATCCCACTTGTTTTCTTTGGGGCTACGAGGAGGATTCGAACCCGCTCTCAACCCTCCAAATTGCCTTGGGACATGTGGTGATCTCTTCCTTTCTGGAGATTCTTCTCCCAGACCACTTATCAAAGCTCCAATCTCAAGCAATCTCTCTTCGAGTTGTGATTTGACCACATTAACTCTATCTGCAGCTCTTCGAGCCTTTCCATTATCGATCTCACTTCGAAGGCGTAAATTCTCCTCTCGGAGTTCTAGATTTTCAGCAAGAAGTTTCGATGTTTCATTTTCAAGGCTTCGAATTCGAACAGCTTGGGAAGAATTGACGGATGCAATATCGCGATTCTGACGTTTGTACTTGCGCTTGACTATGATTGCATCAGAAAGGCGCCTCTCCATTTTTTGCCAAATGTCAGGAAATCATTGTTTGGGAACTCACGAGATTCAATACTCTCCAACGAAGCTGCAGGCTCATTTAAGCGGGCCATGTGAGCTGGCAATGCATGCGGAATGAAATATGATTAGTAGTACGGTATGAAAAAAAGACGTGAGAAATTTGAGGATTATTTTGATGAATCTTGGAAGCTGCGACGAGGGATTTGTCGAAGTAACGGTGATTTCTAGTGATTCTTAGAGTGTTTGTGTACAGTGAAAAATTAGGGTGAATTGATTTGTTTACATCGAACTTAAACTGGTTAGATTGGGAGCATTGACTCTGCTATCATAAAAGTGGGTTTATTTGTCGAATTTCATTGGTCGAAAAAGGATCGCTATCAGTCCCGCCTTGAGTTGTCCACGGATGGAGAATTAATTCATATCAAATTCAATTATCAAGCGTTTTAAGTCTCCATCTCTTTGCATTGGAGATCCGATATTACAACACTCGGCCGGTAAAGCAAAGATCACAATAATGTCATATTCATCTCGACCCCTCGGTTCGCATCTGCGACAGCATTCCATGGGTGGTAGTCTGGGTTCATCTTCTGGTCAATCCCACGTCTTACAGGCGCGCATCAATGAGAAAAGGGCAGAGTTAGAAAATCTGAAGCAACTGCGAGATTTGAGTGCAGGATTGGCTGGACAGATGCAAATGTTGGAAGAGAAACTTTCAACTCTTTCAGATGGAACAGAAGCCGTCGCAACAGTATTGGGCAACTGGCACAATGTTCTGCAAGCTATTAGCATGGCATCCAGTAAGATGTGATGTACTCCTCTGTTTGTCGCGATTTCTAACAATTATCAGTGAAAATACCAAAACCCAAAGAATCAAACGATGGAGAAGAGGAGTTGGAAAAGAGAACGGGACCTGAAATACCACTACCTCAAACTCTAGTCCGAATTCCCACAGAACACGCGCCAATGCTACAACCATCCAAAAATGAAGAATCAAATGAATGAAGAGTACACGCCAAGTCGCTGGGAGACTAGAAGAGGATATACATACATTCATGACGAGTTTGGTGCATGAAACGGCACAACAGGCAGATATGGGGCTGTGAATTTTGAGTTTTGATACCAAAATCGGTCTGGTGATGGATCGTGTCCATGTAGGAATGGCTGGTAAAAAGCAGCTGAACTTTTGATGATGACATGATTGACGACATATTAGCAGAGATTGATCGAATAAGAAAAATGTCGGAAAAGTCATGCAATCTAAACAAATACATGGTGTTGTGGCCTGCATAAGTAGGTAAGATGTGAAACCCAATGACGGAAAGGTCGATGGAAAAGAAGGTTACATTACATCACAATGAGTAGGAGTTGAATGCTTCATCGAAGGAAACAAAGTCATCGCCGAAAGTCTTTTGCATATTGACGGACAATGAATGAATTTCTTCGAGAGCTATTCACCATTTTCATCCCAAAAATAGCTTTGATCAATCATCGCTCACAATTTCGCAGTCGCGCCTTTCTTTTTCAGCTACCGGTTGCTATAGTGATGATGTAAGCTCACACAAATGAGGGGAAGGAAGGAAGCTACACTTTCGTAGCGAGCTACTCAAACGAATATCCTCATGATCGATTGAATTTCAATGACTTAACAATTCACATAATTGATAAGAAGAAAGCTCTGTTTTTTGGAAAAGAAGATTCATCAAACTTGGTACTACATTTCTATTGACTTTACGAATTCGGAATACGATTGTCACTCAAAAATAGAACGCAATTTCCACCCATCCTTGCAAATCGATTGCTTCTCAATACTCAAATCACATCTAATTTCCGAAACACCATTCGACCAAAGATCGACTGTTTCTAGACCATTTATGACTTTTGACAGTCAAGATGTCTCGAGTAACAAGATCAACCACGATCAATATTGTGGAAGATAATACAGCATCCATTGCTGCCCAAATCCCTCTTCCATTGACACCTGCTCCAAAAGTATTGGCTACTTCAACTGTACACGAACTGAATAGCATGGCAGCTCATGATAGCTCAGAAACGGATCTCGCACAACATATGAAAAATCTCAAAGCTGCATATCGAAGTGCTCTCGGTATCACAAAAAAAGGCAAAAAGCACAACAAGAATAAGAACAAGGGAAAGCAAGACCTTTCGACAGAGCTAGAGCATACCAAGATTACTATCCCTGAATTCGAGCACATCGGGGTTTATACTGTTAATCCAACTTCTATTCAATCTGCTCCAAACACAGAAACTGTCCCAAGAATTGCTGCAGGCCCACCTGGTGCTCGCCCTACAACTCTTGTCTCTAATTTTGAGCTTTCAAGGACTCAAACTGGTCAGCCAAAATCCGTTCAACCACCTTACATCATGGGACAGCCTATCTTACCTCACATTCCACAATTGGGACGAACTACTCGAGGTCAAATTGCAAGACAACAAGCAGGTCAGTATGATAAAGGTGTTTCATTCATTGGAGCGGCCGATACTGGAGATGTCTTCTGGAAACCACCTCACCCCTCCAGCTGTGGTTCATCTCTTTTCGCTGGTTCCAACTTTCCTATGCAGACTGGACCTTTCATTCCATTGAGACTTGAGCATAACACTAATCCCTCGGACTATTTAGCAAGGAAGAATAATGACAACATAGAGACAAAGGATGTCGAGTCTTCAGCATCAGAAAAAATTCGATACACCCCAAAGAAGAATGAACCTCCAGCTGTTTCTGGCACCATGCCCTTCACAAAGCAAATCACAACACTCGAGGAGATTGAAAGAGCTTACAAGGCTTCGGAGGTAACGCCTCCTGTTCGCCACTCATCTTCCGCCGAAATTGAAGAGGATTCATTCCTCGATATAATCATAAATCGATCGCCAGCAAAGCCTGTGTCTCGCATCGAAGACTCTTTGGAAGAGCTCGACAATCTGGAGGATGCCATAGATGCGCTCGATGAAGCTACCACTGTTGAAAGATTTGTTGCTACCTCACCCAAGACGGCCAATATCTCAACTGAAGCTTCCTCTGACACCAATTTGAGAAGATCACCCCAACGAGAATTGGTTGAGGAGCTCCCCGCTGCTGGACTACGTGTACGCGTACATGACAGTCCAGCTCAAGCAACTTCCCAAAGACCCAAATCTACCTACGCAACAATGCGTGTCAAACGTACCACAGCCACGGAACCAACCCCCAAAAAGGCTAAATCTATGTCCTTCGAAAATGTAAGACCTGTTGTTAGCCCGGAAAAGCCAACAATGACATCTCCAAGTAAAGTTCCACGTCCAACTAGTCTCCTTCCTCCAAAATCACCAACCAAATCTACAAAGTCATCCACCAAGCCAGTGTTCGAGCTTCCTGGTGACGCTGTCGCTAAGCGATTAAAGGAACAGAGAGAAGCTCGTATTGCGCAACGAGAATCATCCGAAATGACAGTCGTTAGAACTACAACTACACCAGGAAGAATCAAATCCACGAAGCCCCCCACCAAATCTTCTCAATTCGAACTCCCCGGCGAAGCATACTCAAGACGTAAGCGAGAAGTACTTGAGGCAAAACTCAAAGCCCAAGAAGAAGAAGATCGCAAAAGACGTGAATTCAAAGCCAGACCCATAGGTAAAATCGTAGCTTCCCGTACACTTCCCCGCGATACAGCTGCTAGTCGCGCACGCCAAACTAAAATGGGAACACCTGGTGACAGTGTTGATAGCGGTGGTCTCACAATCGGTAAACGTGGGAGCTTAGTTGGAAGTCATCGCCCTTCAATTCTGGACATGCAAAAAGTGAATGTTATCGGCTCATCACCCCGTACTAAGGCTCCTCCTGCTCCTTTGAATCGCAAAGCCTCGCAACGTCCACATAATCCGAGAATGGCAATGCAGAGAACGGTGTCAGATTCGGATCATGAATTGCAGAGACAGAGAGCCAAGGAGCTTTATAACAAAGACGCAATGTACACAGCAGACATTGAAAGAGAGAAAAAGGAACGGGAGATGGCAGCTATCAGGGCAAGGGAAGAGGCGGCAGAAAAGGGAAGGGCGGCTAGTAGGGAATGGGCGGAAAGACAGAAGGCCAAAGCAATGGGTGAGGCGCTTACTAGTCCAAAGTCTTCTACCTTCTTCTGAGTGAAGGTTGATCAAATTGTTTGTGGTGTTTTCGGCGTTTTAAGTTGGCTTTAAACTGTCTGAGTTTAGTGTGCTCGGCTTATGTTCCTTACATGGAAATATGAACCTATGCGATAGGCAGTTGTATACGTTATTGTGCATTATTCGCGTCGGACTTGGTTTTTGAAGTCTGATGTTATACGTTCTTTTTAGCTTAGTATTTTAGGGGGATTGTATGTTCGGAATGGGGGGACAGCACGCTTCTGGATTTTGTTTTTCGACAAGGAGTTTAAAAATGTATGGTCAGGTTCACGGTATGGTGTACAGCACATACATATGTTCCCGGGGCATAGAGGGTGTCCTAATATATGATTTTGAAAGGAAAGGAGAGGGGCGGGGCGTTTGATTTAGCGGACGGGTGGGAATATGGTGGACTGGATTGAGTATTATACCTTGGGGGAGGATGAATCGGGAGTTTGTATAGGTTATTGGAATGGATTGGTCTGTACAGGAGTGTCTCGAGACTGTAATCTTCAGCTCAAGAAGGAAGGATGGAGATGTATGGGATATGAGTTGATTGCTCGTCTTTGACGGGGTGGGGTTGGGGACTACATGATTATGGGTAGGCGGTTCAATGTATTTTGTATTGATAAGTAATTGTATAAATTAATAAAATGAAGAATAGTTGCTATTCTTTAGTTTTCACATTTCATATGGAAGTCAAGCTTGTGTGTGATTGTGTACAGGAAAGTGTAAGTCTTCACTTTCACACTTGTAATTCATACAGTACACCTCGTCACGGAGAGATTGCGTTGCTCACTAGTGGTGAGTGAGTGGTATGCTTACACTGTTCGAATAAATTGGTTCTGCAAAATCAACAAGATCATCAACATATATTTTCATTCTCCTCATCATCATTTTCTCATTCTCGTTATCATTCTCCGTATCCTTGTGTCTTTCTGTCCAAAAAAATTTCAGTGAGATTCAGTGAGGTTACCATTGCCTATTTTGTTAATGTCGGATATATATCCTCCTATCAAGCTTTCCACACATCGAATACCAATCCCAATCCCCGTCTCAAGCTCAGTAGATTATCAAACCAGCTAATTATCCACACTTACGAGTAGACATATCCGCATTCTGTATTTTGATGCACGGATATATTGACAAATTAAGACGGGTTTTCAGGAAGAGAAGTTTGTTCAACGGATAGGTTGTAGACTCGTGGAAATGTGTGGATGAGGATAAAAATGAAGCTGTATTTATGTTCATCTGTCTTCGTCTTTCTTGAGGTGGATGGGTGTCTGGATGGGTGGGCATTAGGTTTTGGAGCTCATCTCGGACCTTGGGGGTACTCCATACTAGCCCGAGAACATAGAGCGCTACTCTTGACTATTATGGTGTCAAATAACTGTAATTCAACAGGAGTTCCAAGACGATTTCGAATTTCGAAACGATGAATAGATAGTATATTTACGCGTAGACGGGTGGGTCATGGGAATGATAATTTTGTAAATTGGTGATGATGGAGTGGATGGGAAGAGTAAGAGTGTTATGATAGTAAAGGAGAAGATAACTGAAAATAAGTGATAGCGGGAGAATAAATTTTGTGCCGGGGACGATTATATCTTGTGGTAATGAGATTGAGTCATAGTCACCGAATATTTATGTATCTCCAAATGGATAGTGAGCTTTAAGCTGGGGCCACCACACCATCGAGTTATAGCCAGATATAACCAGATATCTTGCTGTGTAAGATTTGCAGGCTGCTTAGTTCTTGTCCTTGGGAGCCGTCATTCGTATTCTAGATATTATCCCAAAGTCAGCTGCACGTCGATTTGCATACTGCGTTTGTTCTGCCCAAGATCATCTTCTGTGTCTGGAAAACTTGGACTCAGGATGATGCTGTTGGTAACATACAAATACTGTGCTGGTGGATATTGGTCTATTTCATGTGCCCGGTGAGAGATATGCGGGGAGCTAAACTCATCGAAACACTCGTTCCATCGTATCCCTAATGCAGTTTCTTCAATAACAATAGGCAATAGGTATATAAAGTCCTTTGCCTGGACCAATCCCGACAATTAAAGTACGCACTGTCAGCTGGTCACATCACGGGGGGCATGGATAAAGAAAGGTATGCCAAAAAGTTTGGTAACCATGGCTTGAGCGTTTTGGAAGAGCAAGGAAAGCTGGCTAAATACATTGTTTGATTTCGGTACTAATAGTATAAAGCATGTATGGATAGCAACATGATTAGCTGCAGTCATGGCAAGGGCAACCATTTCATGCTTGACTCAGCAATGGAACGATTGAAGTAGACTAAAATTCTTATACTTAGATACTTTGCACTCATACTTGACACTTCTCTATTTAGGCTTTTCACTATGAACATGGGAGGCTTTTCAGTTCGTGGATCGCAAGACTTGACAGCTATCATCATGAAGGCCCTCTAGTAAACGAGACTAGATACTACATCGAATCCATCTATAGAAGATTCATTGAACCCCTTGTCTGATGTTTTCAGACCCAATGAATAACCATAGGGAAAAATAAAGCTAGGAAGATTCCCCCCTCCAAGATCAAGGCTGTATACGAGACGAGCCTTGCCCAGTATACGTAACATCCCTTGGGTCTTAGGTTTTGGGGTTTGGGTACAGCCTGAGGTGAATTCTTTATTTGACAGCTACAGCTTGATCATGAATGATGAGTGAGTCAACGACGATGATGTATAATTAGGAATGACAATGAGAAATCACACAAACTTTTCCTGAACCTTCGCTACTGAAGTTTCGACTAAGTAATGCGGGGAAGGAGTGTGGAAATACACATGATGTAACAAATACGTCACTCCTTTGAAATTTGCTTGTGGTGCACTTGTTTTCTATATAATAGTACCTCTGTATCTCATTGCTATTCATATAAGAATTCAAAAATACTCAACACATCAAAGATAGAAGTTTGTTATAAAGAGTACGTGTTATATCACATGGCTCCTCTAAAACATATCACAGCATAGTACTCTCTCACATTCACCAACAGATAGGATATCAGACGGGAGAATCTTTCTTTCGAGTACATACTTACGCAGAGTGCCTCTCAAAATATCTAGTGACCCGATTTCTGCGTTCGGATGGTCTTATTTGCTACTGACTTACGAGATGGCGGTACTTCCACTGGAACGAATTTTGAGCCTGTAAGATCGTAGTCACCTCTTGCATGTATGAACGAGAACTTTGTGAGTTGGAGGGGTAAGGAAGAGGCGGAGATGAAACGACAACATTTTACAACTACACGAAGCGATAACTGGCTAAGAAAAAATCGGCAACTAAACAACGGGGATGAGACGGCGAAGACATTTTTGTGTATTGTCACAGGATTTAATCCAATAGACTGTATAAAATAGAAGAATGCACTCTTGCATTGTAATATTTATGATCAACTGTGATGATTGGAATATTCTTGAAAACAATACCAACATAGACCACTACTAATTCAGATCCAAGGGACTTGTTCGAAACTTGGCCAATTCAGAATTTGGACAATCTCACTTCCGTACACGACCATTTTAATATCCATCTTGCCGCATCACTGCATATCGTGATCCTTCATGGTCATTTCTCATAGCCAAAGATCCAGAGTCATGGCACCACTTCAGGCCGATTAACATGAGCCATCTCAATTTATCACACCACCGAGAATCCTCCCAGGCCGGAAACTATCAACAACCGTCATTAGCGCCTGTAAAATCCCTCAATTTCTCTCTTCCGGCCGCGACCCGTCTCTCACCGTGTCCATCATCCTCATCGGGAAAAATGATAAATTATCCTCCGATCAAGTGGCTCAAGTCCGCCATTATGGCCCGGCGGATGTATCCCGTTCTTTCTAACCCCTAGCGATATAGTGCGGGGTACCATCCACTCCATGAAAGTACGACATTTGTACAAGTGACATACTTTACCGCTGTTAAGTCCAGAGACCCGATTACCCCATCACTCGGTCGAGATCTAGGCCGATTGTACATGATCCTCGTGTTCTTACAACTGCAGTACTCTTGAGATTTATGCATTAACAATTAATTTCCCGTGATACCTGCTTCTGATCTGCTCATTCTTGCTTTCTTACTCCTTGGGACAAAGTCTTGGGACAAGTATCAAAGCGTCTCACTGCGCTGGCGTCGAAAAAGCAAAGGGGACCCCCACGCTCCAACTCCACGTGTGGAGTTCTTCGACACGGCATTATATCTGGATTTAAGTGCAACATAAAGCAGCAATGTCTTCATGTGCATCACGAGAACAACAGATGCTGCACGCAGCAGATGCAAAGTAGGCGTTGTAAAATGTTCCCTTACATATCTCTAGTATATGCCCGCTTATTAGGAAAAGGAGAAAAAGGCAAAAACCGGATGGTCTTCAGATCTTGGTTGGATAGACGGAGTACCCACATACGTATACATAGAAAGAAGAAACAAGAACTCAGTAGTAACACTCCATCTCGTGATCTCCGCATGATATCTCCATCTCATCGGTCACAACTGACGCCAAGATCCTCTTGTATCCCGTAAAAATGTATGTAGGGACGAAACTGGAAAACTCAATTCTTATTTCATTAATCAAAGACGAACAAAAAGTAATCCTATACTAACAATAATGTATCTTCCAGTGCCCCACAATTCTTGATGCTAAGGGGTAAGAGAGAAAGCCACTGCACGTGAAATAGAGGTACAACAAGCTGTCGTATCACTGGACCAACAGAACAAGCAAGTAAATACCTAACCAAATCTTTCTCCTTGCGTCGGCCAGCAACGGCTTTCGGTAATAGATCGGTGTTGGAGTTGCAGATGAAACAGTGCTTGGTTTTTTGACATATGCAGGTTCCCGAGGGGACGCTAAGGAATGTATGGACTGTACCGCAGTAAGATGGGCTTTGTACTTAAGTTTGTGCTAGAATTGTAGGCTTTTTCGAGGCGTGGTGTTGTGACACATGAGTGAGCAAGATATTGATCATAAAGTGTAACTACA